AACTGGCGCCTCCCCACCCCCCTCCATTTCATAAAGACGTATTACAGCAATATGGATAAGAGCACAGGAATGTATCTATACTTGTTGGATTCCCCAAACATTCAGCTTTCATATGCATATATTGGATTCATTCTATCTATTATAGTTTTCGAGTAAACAATGAAATGTGAAAACACTGCTTTTTCGAGCATTTTTTAAACTTTGATCTAGAAAGTATCGATATATTACTTTGCTCTTATCCATATTGCTGTAATACTCGTTCATTTTATGAAATGGAGGGGGTTGTGGAGGCGCCAAATGATTACATACTTTTGAGGGAGGCGTAGTAACATCAAGTTTGGAAACCACTGTACTAGATAATTGTTGTTATGTTTGTTTGCATATCTCTGTGGGTAAATCAAGCAATCCTTGAGAAATATTATTTACAATCGCTGAAACAACATAAACGTTGCTGCTGTTATTGTTGTTATTGTTTTTCGTAATTTATCGAGAATCTCGGGAAAACATGACATCAAAAAAAATGTTTACATTTACGAAATAAAATGAGTTATAAAAAAATCTTTCTATTTTCAGATTTCCATGTGTTTGTCTGCAAAAGGAAAACAAAACGTGAATCGATACGCAAATATACGTATACTTTATGATCATCAAACAAATATTGAGCACACTCATTATTTTGGAGGCGCCACGACTACACGCACAAAATCAGGTAAGCTTCAATGCGTAACTTCTTGTATCGTACAAAAAAAAAAGATATATGAATTTTAGGTCGAAAAATGTTGACGCTGATCGTTTTCTTGATCTTGATTACTTTGGGATCATCCGAAAGAATTGTGAGTTTCGTGCAAGAGATCATCCATCTGAGCTTCGAGGGTAAAAGCTGCTTGAAATATATCGGATCGAATCGTTACGTGGATGAAGCGCTTCGCCTTTCCAGAATCTCTATAGTTACATTCAACCAGAAATTCATCGAATCGGGAAAGGTGAATCTGTGCAATTCGAACAACTACATTTTGGCTTCGGATGATTACCAGGAGACGAAGAGTTATTTCGTTGGAGATGGAGCGTTTCCTGCGCACAGCAGAGTCTTGATCTTCTCGCAAATCGGTGACTTCTTCGGCGTACCTTTTCGCCACTTCGTGGATTGGAAGGCCGTCGATGTTATCGCCGTTTTCGGGACTTGGTTCACTTTAAACGGATTCAACGCGGACGACAAAGTGAACGTGAAAGTCGTGTCGGTTAAATCCAATCGAAGCTTGGGGTTCTTCAACGACAGCGAGTGGAGCTTGAAGGAAGACAGCTTCAAATACGAGATTTGGGCTCCGAATTTCGAGGACAAGAAATTCTGTATAGCCGTCTTCCATTCGCCGCCGTTCTTATTAGTAGACGAAGAAAGAGGGATTTACGACGGATTAGATTATTACATTTTAAAGTTTATCATTGAGGAAATCAATAAGTGGCCTATTGGGTATAAATATTACGAACATTTGGCTTGGTCCAAGACGATGCAGGACGTTGGCGCTGGTTTATGCGATTTGGCTGCTGGCGGCCACTTCGAGTCGAACATAAGAGAAGTTAATTTAGAGCCGACGACGAAATATCTCGAAGTCTGCGCGAATTTCGTTATACCGAAACCTATGTACATGCCACAAGAAACCTTTATTTTCCACTCGATCCGCGTCGAAGGTTGGATCTTGATCGTCTGCTTAGTAATTGTAATTTCAATCTTAATGAAACTATTCGCACTTTACTACCAGAATTCCCGAAAGTTCCCAACGATCAAATACTACGACCATCTGATTACCGCCGTGAAGATTTTGGTGATGCAACCGACGAACGGATTCTTGAGGATGACCAGTTTAAATATCGTTCTGTACTCTTGGGTGTACGCTTCTTTACTAATCACCAACATGTATTCGGCCGGGTACACGAGTCGCTTAACTAAACCGAGGTTTGCGAAAGGAATCAATTCGTTCGAAGATATGGTCGAGAACAAGGTGAGATGTTACGACAGCGGTTTTTACACCACTTCAATCCTCAAACAATCCGACGACATCTACATCAAACAAATCGGTAATTTCATGGTCCCAAATCACTCTTTGCAAGACCTACCAGAAGATTCTTGTCTCTTGAGCAACATAATCAACGGAAAGTACATCATCCCCGAAACAGACAATTACGATTACACGCGCGCCGATATGACCGTTCTTCCCGAATGTTTCTCCAATTTCTTCATGTCGTACGCTCTGCAAAAGAACTCTCCGTACAAGAAAATCCTCGACCACTGGCTCAAATGGTGCTTCGACTTTGGTTTCGTCAAAGCGTGGCTTCGCGCGGTTATGAGCAAACCTGATTCCATGGAGAAATACATGAGCCATTTCTTCTTGAAATCCATCAGCACGGAGAATTCCCACGACCTGAAAATACCCATCAGTATAGACGAGATGCAAGCTGCAGTCTACATCCTGCTCGTCGGATACTTCTTAGGCTCCGTAGCTTTAATCTACGAAAAATACACAGCAAATCGATAGAGTTTGTACACGAAATGTATACGATAAGCTAATTAATAAACGATTACGAACGTTTCATTTGATTTTACGATTTCATTTACGACGCGACGATTACGAAACTAATCGAACTAAAAAAAAAACTGTATACGAGATTAGGTATGAATTAAAAATTAGTTGTTAGTTTCGTGCAAACGACGGCTGAAACTAAAGTTTAAAACCACTCAAAGGTACGTACTCTTCTTTCCTAATGCATTTACTTTTACAAACAAAAACTTTTAGTTTTCCTTCAACAACTCATACAAATCTTGCAACTATTTCATCCATAAATGCATACACAATTTACATACATCAATAAATCCAATTATTATTATTTCTGAACAAATATTGTCACGATTTTGAAAATTTTAGGAAGAATTAAAATTTTATTTAAAAAAAAAAAGTTATATTAGGTTATGTTCGTTTAAGTTACGTCATATTTACTTATGTCAGGTTATGTTACATCACATTTGCTATATGTCAGGTTATATTACAATCATATTAGGTTATGTTCGTTTCAGTTATGTCACATTTGCTTATGACAGGTTATATTATGTTATGTTACGTTTCAGTTACAATTTGCTTATGTCAGGTTATATTACAATCATATTAGCTTATGTCCATTTAAGTTATGTCATATTAAGTTGTGATTAAAAAATCTATGAATTAGTTCAACCAAAATCGTACTTAATTTTGCAGAAAATCAATATTATTTTGATCTACCAAATGAATTTTTGCCACATTAACAAAACTTATAAATCAAATACCAAAAAAAAAATCTAATTATAAACGCGTGAGACTAATAACCTTCTTATTGATTCACGTAAACCAACAACGAAAGTTTTCTTCACACAAATATAAAAAAAGTGGATTTATCAAACGAAAATAATATTTAATATTTTTCATATATAAAACCTTCAACAACATCCGCACCAAATAAACAACATTAAATAATCATGGAAAACTACATAATGAATGTGCAGGTAAGTAATTAAATTTCGATGCCCATCTTATCGTGCATATTGAAAAACTGTTAGTAATTAAAATAGTTGCTTCGACGCGAAACGCATTCAATTACTACGTTAAACATGTACAAGCTTTCGCTGTTTCTCGTCTTACCTTCAATAGTTTTTCTAAAAAACACAGAAACTTTGTTGCTACCACCAAGTGATAATGAAAGTAATTTGAGTGCACTTTTAAACGAAATGTTCGTGGACAAATATTGCATCCACGTTTTGGGCGAAATCAATTCCAGTTTATCAAAAGCTCTAATGGATTTGAACGCTGTTGTAATAATAAACGAAGTGCGATATGTCTGCACTGCTACTGGTTATGTGATTGGGGAATGTAAAGAGTGGAAATCGCATAATTTCGTTCCAAAAGCGCGGATTTTTTTGATGTTCGATGATGCAATCGATGCGAATCTAATTGGAAATCAAGTTGTTACAATCAGGGATGACGAAATCATTGATTTGCATACAAATAAACAGTACGATTCTGATTGGAAACTGAATTTGAAGTTGAGGAAGTTCCGGATTTCCCTTTTCAATTGTCCACCTTATTTGAAGTACGATGCAATCAAAGGTGTTTACGGTGGAATTGAAAAGTTTATACTTGACGAGATGACGAAGGATTGGGACGTTGATTTGATGCCTAGGAAGAAGTACTCTTGGGGTTCGGTTCTTGAGGATGTCAGATTGAGGAGGAGCGATTTGGCCACGTGCGGACATTGGATGTGGAGGGTTACGCAACTCAATATCGAAGCCGTGCAGTATATGCAAGGATGCGCCACGTATTTGGTGCCGAAACCGACGGTAATAGCGACGACGATTTTCGATCCGTTCTCATTGTGCATCTGGATTTTGATTGCGATCTTAACGCAGATCGTCTCGTTCATCCTGTATTTAACGCAAAAGTATATAGTTGGGATAAACAGGAATTACAGTTACTGCTTCTTGGAGGTGTTCCGGATTTTGGCTCTAAACCCGATGACGAATTTTCCGACGCACCGGAATCTAAAGTTCATTTTGGTCTTGTGGTATTCGACCGCTCTTCAGTTGAGCATCGCTTTCTCTGCTGGTTTCACCAGCACTTTAACGCACGAGAAGTACACGAATCCTGTTGACAATATCAAGGATATAGTTTACAATGATGTCGCTTGCTACGATGTTGGGACTAGTCTCTCGTCGTGGCTCAAGTATTCGGATAACGTTTTCGTGAAGATGCTGGCCAAAACGATCATTTCCAATCACACCATGGAGAACTTACCGGACGACGCGTGTCTAGGAGCTAATGTCATCCGCAGATTCGTCGTGCCGGAGATCTCGGACATTCGCGAAGACATCAAAGATAAAATCAAGTTGATCTCAGAATGCGTAGGCGAATTCTTTTTAACTTTCGCCCTGCAAAAGAACTCACCTTATTCGGAATTCGTCGACCGGAAAATAAGGATGTTTCAAGAGCACGGCTTAACAGAAGTCTGGTTCAAGTACGCCATATACCAGGACTACAATTACTGGCAGAAGATGTCTCAGTACGTCATGCCGCGTACCTCGATCATAAGGAAAAAGTTGAATTACGATCAGATGGAGGGAGCCTTCTACGTTCTACTCGTCGGCCTCTTAACAGCGTTCGCCGCCTTCATCATCGAGAGTTTCAATTAGTCGCGTGAATAATAAACGATAATTTCACGCGTCAAACTCCCAAGAGAACCTAACTGCTCTTTCACGCATTAACGATATTGAAATAGATCAATCACCGAAAACTAAACACGAACCGAGACAACCAAGTTTATTATTTAAAAGCAAAAAGTCAAACAATGAAAATCATCCCAATACTAACGCTGCTCATAACGTGCAAAGCAGAAACACTAATCGATTTGATGAAGAACAGTTTCGAAAATGGAAACGAAACGATTTTAGTCTTATCCAACGATTATTACCCTCAAGAAATCGCGGCTTTAAATTACGCAATGATTAATTACGATTTAAGCGAATTCAAGAATTTCCAAGCCCCAATCGACGGTTACTTAATCGCTTTGAACGAAACCTCCCCAACGAAATTACTCAAAATCCAATTGAAACCTCACCTTAAAACTATAATACTAGTTTCCGATTACAACGATAGGAATTGGGAAATTTACGCTGCAAAAACAGGATCGGATTTGGTTTTGGTGAAAGATTTAAACGATTCCAAAACAATAATCAACAATTTCCAAGGGAAGATCAAAGCTTCGGTTTTCGACTGCGCTCCTTTCGTTGATATCGATGAGGATGGTAACGTTGCTTCCGGTTTGGAGTTGGATATAATCAAAGAAGTCTTCGGAGATGTTGAATTTACCGTTCATGGAGTGGAGGAACGCGTGAGTTTGTACACGATAGTTTTGAACGATTCGCTTACAAAGAAAACGGACGTTTCGATGTGCTCGCAATGGCAATCGGTTTTAGCGAAAACCGAAGTTGATATCAGTTTTCCGTACACGCAAATGTGCATAACGTTCTTGGTGCATAAACCTCAACTCGTTCCGAGTTCCAGATTCGTTTATCAACCGTTCAAATTGGAATTGTGGTTAGGCATATTCTTCCTCCTCTTGATGATCTCTTTCGTTGCTCGAATCCTTCGCAAGATGTATGGATTTTACTTGATTGTGACGATGGGAAATATTTGCATGAAAGCTCTTCAAATTTTAGTGCTTCAAGGTATAAAGTTTCCTAACGGCGCTTTGAGATGTCTTCTATTCTTTTGGTTGATCACGACGGTGCTCTTGAGCACGTATTATTCGGCTGGTTTTGCGAGCACTTTAACTTCGCCCGGTTATTCGAAACCTATAAACACTCTTCAGGATATGGTGGATGAGGGAATCCATTGGGGAGGGCCGGATATGGGCAATTACAAGACGTTGGAGGGATTCCCGAAAGCGGCGCTGGAAAAGCTCTTGGAAAACTACGAATTAGAGGATAATTTCGATGTTGTTAACAGCAGATTACGGACGAAGAAGTACGCGACGTACGTGAAGATATTCCCCAATGTGGAATTCGTCACGGACACCGAATTCTTGGACTCTTACGGGCAAAGAAACCTGAAAGTTCTGCTCGATTGCGCCGCGGAATACTTCATGGTCTTCGGGCTACCGAAATCCTCGCCGCACACAGCGATCCTCGACAAGAAAATCCAGGCATTCAGCGCGCACGGCTTCATCAACCATTGGACTTCGAAAGCTTTAACTCCAGAATTGAAGTACATGAAGAATTACTTCACGAAATCGTCGAGCGTCGCGAGGACACCTCTCAACTTGATCAAACTGCAGGGCGCGTTCTACCTATTGATTGTCGGCTCGGTAATTTCGTTGATCGCCTTTTGCGTAGAGCAAACACACATCGCTGCCGCGTTTAATTTCGAATAAATACGAAATCCTCCTCGGCAATAAATTACACGATTAATGGTGTTTGCCTTGTTAAGTGTTCCCATTCTCGAGGCGAAACAACAAGTCTCCTTCAACCCTTAAACGCTAACAATCGTCGCAAATGATACATGGAAAAAAAAACAAGGTGACAAAGAATGAAAAAAAAAGACCGCTCGTAATGGAAAAGATCTCAGATAAAGCACTTATAATGAGACCGGTTCAGAACCGAAACGCACCGTTATACAATACCATCGTTACGCGACGTATCATCCGCAAACACAAAGAGTTTTTCAACTGTTTTCACAGGTAACACGCTATATTCTAAAACACCGCTGTAATCGTAACAATTGAAATAAAGCAATTTGTATTGAAAATTTGCACTTAATCTAATTAAATTTAAATGTTAATTGTTGATAGTTAAGTAACAAAACATCTTAAAATTTGCACGAAAAGTCACAATAAAATGTATCTTAAAAGTTGTCTTATTAATTAACCTACTTTAATTGTTTGATTTGTCATTTTTATTAATAACAGTTATTAAATTACAATTGTTAACAAATTTGACGTTTGTGTGACAATTGTTTTTTGATTTTCAATTAACCAAATTTTGACATTACGTGAATTTTCACATTAAATTTTACAATAATTATAAAAAAAAATGATATAACATTTCTAATTTAATCACTCAACTTTGATTCACCGGAAAGACTATACTTTCGTGTTTAATTTGCGCATCTGATGATTAAATTAGCGTGCGTAGTTATCAAGTAATTAGACAAAACGTGATGACACAATATTTTCTGTTTCACTTTGACATATGTCACAAATATCTGACATTAGGATTATATGTCATAACGTCAGTTTATCTTCAATATGAATACTCAATTATGTAATTAGAGGTTAAAATTTAATAGCTTATAATGAGAAAAATCACTTTAAATTTTCTATAATATGCACATTGAATAACCGATTGAATCTTCATTATTAATCGAGTAATTTAGTACGAGGTAAATACTTATTATGTTCTTTCCAAACGAGACTCGTGGTGTAGTCGAAGTTGAATCAGTAACAATAATAAGGTTGCATGTTAATTACACAAACAACAGAAAAAGAATGATGTCAAGTGGTAGGGCACGTGGGAAAAAAAAACGTATTGTGGACAAACTGAATATTACGTAATTACAAGGCAGCAACAGATAGAGAGCAGCAACGATGTGGAATTATAATGATTGGTGGGCACGCAACAAATTAATCGCAATGTTATTTCTGAACGTCGAGCAAACCGCTCTACACCTTTTTAACGATAATCAAACAAGACCTAAATATATTTAAGAAGACGTAAAATGCTTCGGTTGCTCAAAAACCATCATCATGCGCTTCTCCATCGTCGTTTTCCTTACAACTATACTAACAATTAAAGTTGAAGCGAATTGCAGTATGCAGAGGCAAATCGACGAGAAGAAGTGGATACAGATAATAACGAAAGCAGTGAACTACTCGTTCGTAGAAAAGAATTACATCAACTTCTTATCGGACGGTTGTTACCTGTCGCATTTAGTCGAAAGAGCTCTATCGGATTCAGGGACTGCTGTAACGGTTCGTCCATACAAGAAAGTTAATCGCGAAACTGCCGAAGAAGAGAATCCGTGCGACGGTTACATAATAGCCACTTCACAGTTTGGATCTCTCAAGAAATTGATTGCAGGAAACGAGTTTAAACCGCACAAGAGGTTATTGATTTTCTACAATTGGAAAGACGACTTCTTCGTGTCACCATTCACCGAAGCCGTCTCGGTGAAAGGGCTTGACATTATGGTGATGCAAGGATTCAACTTTGATTTAGAGGATGAGATTCACTGCATACAGCAAAAGAACGAGTTTCAGGTGATTTACTTGAAGAACAACGAAACCGAAACGAAAGTCACGAAATCGTTTTTCGCCTACAAAGAGTGGAAACCTCGAGATGGACCTTTCGTTGGCGCCGCTTTCAATTGCAGCCCTTTCCTTATAGTCGGAGACAAATTAGACGGTTTGGAATACAGAATCATCAAGCAAATCGCACAGATAAAAGGTTGGCCTTTGGAGTTGAAGATTTTGGAAAGTGTGGAGAACGCGAGTCTGTACGGTAAGGTTTTGGAAGCGCTCAAATTGCAAGAAGCTGATGTTGGACTCTGCAGCCAATGGATCTCAGTTGTGCCTATGGATCAATACGACATTACGTATCCTTACACTCAACTCTGCATAACGTTTTTAGCCCCAAAACCGAAATTATTACCAGAACAAACTTTAATCTTTCAATCGTTGAATTCGACGGTTTGGGCTATTCTTTTAACACTTGTGACTGTTATAATCTTGTTAACTATGTACTTGAGATGGTTGCATCCGAATGAAAAGAAGGATTACGTTGTTGGTATTTTAGACGTGCTGAGGATTTGCACGCAAAGTTCGATACCCAAATTCCAGTTCACCGGTTGGAACGCTCTTCGCGTTTTACTAATCGCCTGGTGCTTCAACTCTCTGCTAATCAACACCGGATATTCCGCCGGATACACCAGCTCAAGAACTACACCGAAGACGTCGAAACCCATCGACACTCTAGAAGAAATGGTCGATGCGAACATCCAATGGGGCGGCCCAGATTTCGCCAACAAATTAACACTTCAAGAGCATCCCAACAAGTACGTTAATAAGCTATTGAACAACTACCATTTGGAAGCGAGCATAGCGCAAAGAAACGAAAGAATCCACCAATTGAATTACGCAATTTACGTGAAAGTGCTACCAAGAAAATACATCACCAACACGGAGACTTTGGACGTGTTCGGTAGATCGCATATGAGAGTGTTAAAAGAGTGCGTTTCGGAGGGATACATTGTTTTCTCGCTGAGGAAGAACTCACCGTACACCGGCATTCTTTCGACTTACATCATCAAGTTCGTCGAGCACGGATTGATCAATTACTGGGACATGGTCATCCGGATTGTTTCCGAGCTGAATTACATGTCCAACTTTTACTCCTCGTACGCAACGAAAATCGGGCAGAAAAAGCCATTAACGCTAATCGAAATGCAGGCGGCTTTCTTACTTTTAACCGTCGGACTCGTCGCAGCCGCGCTCACTTTACTTTTAGAACTCTTCCTAACCAGAAAGTAACACTACTCTCCATCCGTTTACATTGGCAAACAAACTAATTCAATTTAATTTAATTTGCAGATAATGTTGCTTCTAATGCTGCTCAACCTCGCGGCCCTGGCGAAATGCAACGAAGATAGAATAGTCGATTTCGTATCGTCGATCATCTGCAATTCGTTCGATGAATTCCAAACCATATTTTACATAAGCGACGGCTCCAGCTTCACCGATTACATCCACAAATCGCTGCAGAAAGATCTCACGATGGTCGTGGTGCCGCCGTACGAGAACGTCTTGAATTACAGACCTGAAAATTTTCGCGCCGTCGGCGCTATAATCGCCACGGCTAATTTAACTTATTTGAATGCAATTTTAGGCGAGAAAAGTATCGGCGATTTCAAAATGTATCCGCATTACAGAATCTTAATTTTCTTGCAAGGAGTTGAAGCGGATTATAAGAAATACCCGTTCGATTTCGCGCAAGACATCGAAGCTTTGGATCTGATGATCGTTCAAGTCGAGACGATAGAAGAGTTCAAATCGAAGCGCAATTTCCTTATCAAACTCATTTACTTGAATAAGGATAAAGTTATATTGGAGTGGAATGGTGAAGATGAATTGCAGCTCGATGTTGATGATTTAAATATGTTGGAATGGAAACCGAAAGATGAGTACGTCTTCAACGTAGCCGCATTCAATTGTCCACCGTACATTTACTCCACGGACAAGGAAGCTTACGACGGAATCGAATTCAGGATTATTCAGCACATCATGAGAAAGTTCAAGGTGGAGTATCAGATTTTCACGGAGAAGGAGCGCGAAGGGCGCAACGAAAGCTTGTATTCGATTGTAAAAGAGTCGGTTTACAATGGAAGCAGCGACATCGCCGTTTGCTCTCACTGGATGTTGTCTTTAGGGAAATATTTCTCCATGTATGATACGACCTTTCCCTACGCTCAAGCTTGCATAACGTTTCTGGTACCGAAACCGCAACCGAAACCCGACAGCGGCTTCATCTTTCAACCGCTGCAACCGACCACTTGGATCTTGATGTTCACCAGTTCATTCACCACCACCTTAATACTCTACGGTTTAGGAATGTACTATAAAACTGTTCGCAACGACCCGAATCCCTTCGCGAATCTCGTCGACAGTTACCTGGTGATTGTCCGGATCTTCACCTTGAGCGGACTTAACGTTTTCCCGAAACCCTCTCTACGAGGAATCCGCATTTTCTTGACCTGCTGGTCCTTAAACACTCTCCTCTTGGCCACAGCTTACGCGGCGGGCTTCACCAGCGCCTTGACCAGCGTACAATTCTCCGACCCAATCAACACTCTTCAAGACATGGTGAACCACAACATCTTCTGGGGTGGTCCAGACTTGAACACGAAGGCAATGCTCGAGGGAGGAAACGAAATCCACCGGATGATTGCGAAAAATTACGGGATCGAACCGAACAACCGGTACAGAGATATGCGCGTGAGATGCAACAATTACGCACTCATCGTCAAAAAGTTGTCGCAGTATTACTTAACGGACACGGAAACGTTGGATAGTTACGCTAAAACGCACATGAAAATATTGAACGAATGCGTCGGGGAATTTGGCATCATCTTGATTCTCCGCAAATCCTCACCATTCACGAAGATCTTCACCGAGCAGATCACAAGGCTTCTGGAGCACGGCTTCATAGACTACTGGTACGCAAAGATGATGTCCAACTACAATCTCGATTACCTCTACAACTTCTTCACCTCTCACACGGAAGCAACCGTATCAAGACCGTTGAGAAGTAGCCAACTGCTTGGAAACTTCTATCTGTTATTAGCAGGACTCACAATCTCAGCCCTAACATTTTTCATCGAGTGCCTCGTTAAGCACTACTCGAGGCAGCAATATTACTTTAATTATTAATCTTTGATTCGTAAACTATCAATAAATTAGTAGAATACTCACTGCCGCAAAATATATCCCCGTACTGTCCTTTCTTCAATCCCAATCTTCCGCTGAGAGCCTTAGGTTTAGGTTTGCAGTGCGTGGTGAAGCAAGGAGCGTCCGGATGCCGGAACTCCCACATCGCTTGCCACAGCTTCAAACCATTCTCCAAACGGAAATTCTGGAAATCCGACTCCTTCAGGCTCTGACAAATCGGTGCGAACAAGTACACAAACAGCTACAAAAAAAGAATAATTACAACCAATTAACAATTTAACTTAATAATATCACCGTCATTGTTGGTATCGAAAATAGGTAATAGAAGGGCGACGTGTGGTAAATTCCTTTCTCGAAGTCTGCATCCGAGCATTCCTCAGCCGCATCCAGCAGGATCCAATGGAGAGTGTACAGAAGTTTGCTCTCCACCGCTCCCAATATCTGTATGTTTCCATCCTTCATCCTAAAAGTTAGACAATTGAGTTTTTCAAATAATCAACATCGAGATGAGACGAACCTATTGAATAACACCGAAGCGGTGCAGTGCATCACGTAGGGCAACGCCGCCTGGATCAGTCTCCATCGAGGAAGACTCTTGAAGGCCTCCGAAAGATCGGGTTTCAGATCGGTTATGATATTCTGCACGAGGACCTTTTCGAACACCTTGCATGATTCCTTCAGCACGTGATGGACGGGATTTTGTTGACATATCTGAAAGAAGCAAAACATAATAATTTAAACCTTTATAACATATAATTTATATAAATATGCACATCTGGTAATACTTGACAAGTTCTTGTACAAGTAAGGTGAACTTGCATTATCACAAGTTACTTGACAAGTATCCCATTGCGAGATGAAATTAGATGAGTTTCAATCAATAATGCATTTAAACACTTAATTACCGAACATGATGTCTCGTGAACTTTTCCCAATTTCGATTTGACGAACGGTATGACCTGCTTCCACAGGAATATTTGAATCGGTATGGGAATGGACTGATCCGTGAGGTTGTCAATTGAGCAGGTGTGATCCGGGTCTATGGGCATCTGAATCAAAATAAAATTAATTAAAGAGAGATTTATAAATCTTTGGACAACAAGATCTTACCTTGACTTATATAAAACTATAACGTGTATATTATATAACAAATATATAAATATCTATAAAAATGTGCTCGGCAATAAAGCCCTTTGTTTCTCATCTAGCTCATCGTGTTTACTACAAAAAAGTGAGGAAGGACAGAACGCACGGCGGAGGCTGCATCGATTTTCTGCAGGATGCTGCGCGCGTGCAAAATCCTGCGCGATCGGAAATGTCACTAGGTAACAGTCCATTAAACGGCAGCAGGAAATAACAGTTACCTCATCTCACCTTAATATATCGATTATCACCTGCAATCAAAATATACAACAAACAAACAAACAAAATGATAACTTAAAGTGAGTTTCATCTCATTGCTTCATCATAAGAAACAAATGAAAGTACACATAACTTGTCAGAAAGTTTTAAACCAAAGATTTCATCTATGTCTCGATTTAATCCAAAATAACCCTTTAATTTTATACTTACTCAATAAGTCTTGATTCTTTAAGTTCTATGAAACTGAATTTGGCTTAACACACCGAAACTGCATCATCTTAAATACGCACATTGTTGAGAGCAAGAATCGTCACTTAATTTGACATAAGTCAAAATTTAACGTTCAAAGTTAACTGAGATCAATTGTTGTATTGCATCATAGTTCGCTTATGTTTTTTCCAATTCAAATTTGGCATTTGAAATGTACGTTGTCACTTTTGTAATTTGATCTGTTGTTAAATCTTTCATTATTTTATAACTTTAAAAGTTTTTTAATTTAAATTTTACTATAATATGAAATGCAACAAAAGTTAAGTAATTTTCTTATAATTAAGAAAAAAACGTGAAAACTCTTTGTTTCTCAACGAAAAACGATTTTTAAGAAAATCCTATTCACTTTTTTTTTTCAATTTCTCCAGCTCTTAGCAGCCGACTCCGCGACAACACGAAGATGCCGATAGTTACGTTGGAAAGGTGAAGTTTTGAGCTTTGAATTGTGTGGTCGATGATGTAATTATCTCGCCAAATTGGATTGAGAATGAATTTAAAATGCTTAATTTTGATAACTTATAGTAGATGCCACAATTCCGACAGTCGGATCATTGGAAAAGTTGTAGTTTTTTCTTTTTAATTTGCATAATTAATGATTTAATTAGTGGTAATCGATTAATTTTAAATAATCGTTAAATAAATGGATATATTCCCATATATTTAAAACTTTTAATTTACTTTAATTCTTTCGCTTTCGTTTGCTATAAAGTAAATTAGTTTTGGTCCATTAATAAGAAAGTTATTAAACTTTAATGTAACTGTCTGCAACCACACATACCATTTCCTGCAAATTCCGACAGATGTCGCTGCATGCTTTAATTAAAATGCATATAACTCGAAAACTAATTAGCATTTGAATGATTAGACTAAAGTAATGACATTACGTCTGTTCAAGCATTATGTTAACATGTTTGTTTATTTAAATTAGAACGTTTTTAAGGAAGTGGATTTTGTGCAGCGCCAAAATGCCTGAACTGCAACCTTTGAAACATTGCTAACAGATGGCGCTAGCTGTCACGAAAAATGGGATACATATTTTGCGCCTAAAGTACAGGCAACCAAACATACACTTACACTTTGATGAACAAATAGGAAAACAACGACATAGATAATGGCTTGTATTTTCGCAAACATGAGCTCCCAGAAGAATGTTATACATGGATATTGATCTTGAATATACACGAATTAAAATGAGCCCAAATGTTACTTTGTAGCTGCAATGGTGTCCTC